TGGAAGGGAGGCGGGCTATCTGCGGCCCGCGCCCCGCCCGGGATGCGCGGGGTGGGCAGCGCCGGGTCTACGGCTGCGCGCCCAGGCACTGGCCGCCAGCGTGGAGCCCAGGATCACTCCTCTTTGGCAGAGGTTTCCCTGTCGAGGGCCCCGCCCGCCCGCGAAGGACCTGGCGTTAGAGCTCTTCCCCGAGGCGGCCAGGGGAGACGCTGAGGACAAGGTGGCATTTGGCACCTCTCCATCATGTGGCCCCAGCGCTGACTGTCTTTGGGGGGAATAGTCGTCCGACTGTACAAAAAAAAGTGCTTCAGGCCGGTGAGGGTGCTTTAGGCAGAGACAGCACCCGCTTTCAGAAATCGCCCTTGCGAGCAAGTGTGTCTGACTTGTCCACTCTGTGGATGTTACTAGCCTTGGCAAATCCCGAATGACACGTCCTGCTTTGAGGGGGACAGACAGGCCTGGACAGGTTGAGCATAGTCGGCCTCCTCTGACCCCCATGTCTGAGAGATGAATAAACTAAGCCCACCTCTGCGCAGCCCGGCACCAGGCCCTGCCTATGTTCCTGGTCCTTCTTTTCCTGCCTAACAAAAGGGGATGGTAGTGCGTGCAGGGAGGGGGGCGGCCCCTGGCTCCTCTGAAGACCACGTTTGAGCTCAGGACCATCTAGCTCTAGACGGGTTTCCTCAGCAGATTCCGTTGGAAGCCTGCTGCAAGCCCTACCTGGTCCCAGTACTATCTAAGCTTCTCACAAAACGTAGGAGGGGGCATTGATGGCCCTGCACTCTAGCCTCCCACCCCCACCCTTAGTTAAGGAACGTGTCCAGCCTGAGTCTGCTGGGATGCCTGGCTGGGCAAGTGTGCCAGCCTAGTTGAAACATGCGGGGGAAGACCTATTCCAGGGCATGTAGTGAGGGATGCCTGCCAGGATCCTTCGTTTGGGTCAAGCACTGCTTGACAGAAACTGGAGGTGGCAGTGGGAGACTGGACGCCAGGCTTTGTGAGACCCTAAAGACTAGCCAGAAGTCAGCAGAGTGGGTAGTTCCTTGACCACTCACTGATACCCCCCTAACCAGTTTTAAGCTGATTCCTTTAGGCTTCCTTTTCCCCAGCAGCCTCCCACCCCCTCCTCTGCAGCAGTATTGTCCTAGGGCCACCTTGGCACGACAGGTTTCCTCCCTGGCAAACCTGCATGACTACCCAGCCTGCCCTTCCCTAGGGCCAAGGCTCTTGCTGAATTGACAGTGTGTGAAAGCCAGGGCTTTGAGCAGCAGGCCAAGTGTCCCAGGGACGTCTCAGACCCCTTGCTCAGAGCTGGAGGCCAGGTAAGCGCTCATCCTCTCTCTCCCTCCCTGCACCCTCCGGGCTGGAGACAGACCTGGATGCCTCCCAGATCCTGACCATGTTGTTTCCGGAGGCTAAGCCAGGGCTAAGTGTCATACCTTGGAGTACGAGGAGATGGAGGTGGGGGCCAAGGAGGAGGGGAAAGGAGGGTGGGCTGAACACCACGCTGGAAAGGAACAAGCTAGGCAGTGCCTTAGTCCTGTGGCAGGTACAGAGCTGTCCCCAGCCCCTTCTCTGTGACCCTCCCTAGCTGCGGGATTCCTAAAGGACTTTTTTCCAGGAAAAGAGGAAATTTGGTATCTGGCCCCAGATCCCTGGGTGAGCTTTCCTTAGCCTGCTGTCTGGGTGCCTAGGTGAGTTGGCCCTTGGGCACTGTTTTTGGCTTAACCTAACTTAGACAAGAATCCCCGTAGACAGAGCTGTCCCCTCAGGAGTGGGGACATCATTCCACCTCACCAGTCTCCATGTATACTGAACTAAAGGCTGCTGGCCCTTCTCCCCAGAGATATCCTGGGCAGCAGGGTTTGTGGCAAGCTCATGGTGAGGCAGACTAGTGCTGCCGTCTCAATCTCTAGGAATGACGTAGGGCATAGAGGTTTGACCTGGGTCCTTCAGGGCAGCCTGGCCACCCTTACAAAGTCCACGGAGATATTAAAAAATGTGAAGCAGTGAGTATGGAAGGGAGGACTCCGTCAGACTCCAGGCTTTCATGGGACATATAAGGTTCCAGTGGGAACTGCCTGGAGATAAGTATTGGTAGCAGTTACACCTTGGGCATTCTAAGCCCTTAACTACCAGTGTGGTAACCCATTGGGAGTGGACAGGAGTCCAAGGTCTGGGTGAACCAGCAAGTAGAGTGGAGGGCTACAGAAGGGCATGGACCTTTGGGCTCTTTTTCCATCCACCCAATGAGAAAACCCAAACACCCACACACAAAAAAAGCCCACTCAAGGCTGTTTGTCTCAGCAAGAAACCATGTGATCCAGAGCTGAGCTTCCCGGTAGCCAGGACAAAGGACACAATCTTTGATGTTTGTGTGTTTGTTGAGACAGAGTCTCACATAACCTAGGCTAGTCCCAGTTATGTCAGCTGAGGACGGATTTGAACTCCTGATCTTCCCCTGCCCACCTCCGAAGCTTTGGGGTTACAGATTTGAGCCACCATGTCCAGCCACAGAATGGTCTTGAAACCTTCCCTGGGAGGAAGGAGGCAACTAGTTCCTCTACAGAGACACTTTCCCTGGTCTTACTCTATCAGGAGTGGGTTCTCTGCTTCAGCAGGAATCGCCACGGAGGTAAAGAAGGCAACAGACAGGATTCAGATTCCCTACTTGCTCTTGCCTGAATGTGCAGCCATAGACACAGGAGGGAGAACTATTACTTTCCTGTGGTTGCAAGTTCAAGGGCTTAAAAGAGCCAAGTTCTGGTATTGGAAGCCTAGGATCCAAATGTTAGCAAAGCCATGCTCCCTTGAAGATTATAGGGCCACCTTTTTTTTTTTTTCTCCTCTTCCTCTGAGCTTTCTGGAAATCCTTCAGGCTGTTTGGCTTGTGCTTGTGTCCCTCCAACCTCAGCGTCCATCTCCACAGGCCTGTCTCCCCTGTACGACTGCTCCAATGGCCATCTTGTGAGACCACTAATTACCGCATTTAGGGCCTACCCTAAGCCAGTATGATCTCATCTCAGCCAATTATCGTGCGAAGACTCTATTTCTAAATAAGGTCACACTCTGAGCTCACTAGTATGCATGGGAAAACAACACACCACAGAATCCTCTGGAAACCTCAGTTTCCTTGTCTGCACAATGGCAAGGGCGTTCTAGGCAAAGAGACATGAGTCAAGGAGCCAGCACCACACAGCGCTGCATAAGTTTGCTTTTATTTATTTATTTTTTTAAGTAATTAATCTTCTGTAGCATCTTCTTCTTCTTTTGGTACTGATTGTTGAACCCGGCATCATTCGCATGTTTGGCAATCATTCTACCTTTGAGCCACCTAGCCCCTCTTTATGGCTTTATAACGAGCCCACCCATCGACCCCCTCAGCTAGCACCCATCCATTCGGGGCCGATCACTGGGTGCTGTGAATGCTGCCCAGACCACTGCCAGTAGGAGTGACAGCTGGCCCACGGAGTTGGGTGCCAATAAAGCTTAAGGAAGTTGGTGTGGAGGTAGGGGGGTAATGAGGAATGGGCCAAGGTAGTAGCCTGTAAATTGTCCTGGCAGGAGCATTGAGTGCAAAGAGGCAGGTGCCAGCAAGGCAAGAATTTCTCTGCAGGGCAAAGGGGGCCTTTGAAGGGTTTCCCAGTGGGAGAGGAAAGTGTTCCAATTTACATGTTGAACAACACTCTGGAGCTCCATTAGAGAAACAGCCACATTGCAACCTATGACTGGGCGTCGCCAGGTGATAGGAGTGGCCCAGAGGGGCTGGTGGGGGCAGGGTGTTAGGTGTGGCCCGGAGGAGGTCACAGATAGCACCGATTGGAAGGGACCAGTGAGGGGCTGGGCTCTAGCTTTTGTGGCTGGTAGAGGTCTAAGGAGGGCAGTTGCTTGCTCAGGTTTGGGCATGTTGACCTCGGGCATCTGACAGAGCCAGTGCCTCAGACTTGGGCTCTGTATGAATAGTGTTCAGCATCCAAGAGGTAAGAGAGGCAGAGGAGCTGCTCCGAAGGAAGAAGCTCTTGGGAGCCTGGGTAAGCTAGGCATGGCGTGTATGGGGAGTGTCGGGCAGTTTGGGGTACCAATAAAGCCACAGGGAAGTGGTGGGTGAACAGGAGTGCTTGGCTTGTGGTCCAGGAGATGGTGAGACAGAATCGAGTTGGCTTTCCTGCAGACTATGGCCTGTGATGGGAAGACCAGGATATGGATAGGACAGGGCTTCTCTCCCAACTCACTGGAGATTCCAGACACCACAGAAAATTACCGGGCATTACAATAAATGCCACCTGAGCAGGGAGGGCAGGACAACCAGGAAGGGGGCACTTTGTGCCTTGCCTCTGAATTGTTCATCAGGCAGGACAGAAGTGACTTATGATCTGAATGCCAGAGCCAGGCCAACACTGAGGCTTTGGAGAGCTCCTGGACCCCCTGAAGGCTGTCTCATTGACTCTCTAGTTCCCTATCTTCTCCGGAGAAGAAGCTGAGGCCCAAAAGGGAAAGGCTTCCCAGGTCCCCATACCAGTTCTTAGAGAGGTCAGGTTTGAAAGAGGGGACCACAGGGCCCATGTCTCTGTGATTCTACCCTTGAATTTTGGAATTGGACTTGAACCCCCAGGTGCCAGGCTGCTGAATGCTCCCAGGCATTAACAAGCTGACATTCTGGAGAATCGCACACTTGACTCAGGTTTCACTTACACACAAAGGTGAGTGCCGGAGGGTACCAAAAAGCCAGGCCTGGGGAGGGGAAGGGAGCTCTGTCCCTGCTGTGGTCGGTCGGTCGGTCGGTTGGGGCTTGTCTCCTCATCACCATGGGATGACACTGGCCCATTTAAGGACTCTTCCATCCAGCCAGTGTGGTCTTTGTGGTTCTGAGAGGTTGTAGCCAGGTAGAAAGAACTCTTTCATTCAGCCAGTGTGGTGTGTGTGGTTCTGAGAGGTTATAGCCAGGTAGCCACAG